ACCATCATCTTTTAAATACAGTGTAAATTCACTAATGTTGATCCTGGACCATCATCTTTTAAATACAGTGTAAATTTACTAATGTTGATCCTGGACCATCATCATTAAAATACAGTGTAAATTCACTAATGTTGATCCTGGACCATCATCATTAAAATACAGTGTATATTCACTAATGTTGATCCTGGACCATCACCTTTAAAATACAGTGTAAATTCACTAATGTTGATCCTGGACCATCATCTTTTAAATACAGTGTAAATTCACTAATGTTGAACCTGGACCAACATCTTTTAAATACAGTGTAAATTCACTAGTGTTGATCCTAGACCATCATCATTAAAATACAGTGTAAATTCACTAATGTTGATCCTGGACCATCATCATTAAAATACAGTGTAAATTCACTAATGTTGATCCTGGACCATCATCTTTTAAATACAGTGTAAATTCACTAATGTTGATCCTGGACCATCATCATTAAAATACAATGTAAATTCACTAATGTTGATCCTGGACCATCATCATTAAAATACAGTGTAAATTCACTAATGTTGATCCTGGACCATCATCATTAAAATACAGTGTAAATTCACTAATGTTGATCCTGGACCATCATCATTAAAATACAGTGTAAATTCACTAATGTTGATCCTGGACCATCATCATTAAAATACAGTGTAAATTCACTAATGTTGATCCTGGACCATCATCTTTAAAATACAGTGTAAATTCACTAATGTTGATCCTGGACCATCATCATTAAAATACAATGTAACTTCACTAATGTTGATCCTGGACCATCATTGTGTAAATACAGTGTGAATTTACTAATGTTGATCCTGGACCATCATCTTTTAAATACAGTGTAAATTTACTAATGTTGATCCTGGACCATCATCATTAAAATACAGTGTAAATTCACTAATGTTGATCCTGGACCATCATCATTAAAATACAGTGTAAATTCACTAATGTTGATCCTGGACCATCACCTTTA